GTGAAATACGTTTTCAGGCACACTTCGAGCAGTCTCATCAGATCTTCAGTGCGGAGGGGGTCCTGGTCCTGACCCGGTCCTTTCTGATTTAACTGGTCCCTGATCACCGCGATGGCTAAGTCTTGCGGGATGGAGGTGAAGAGTGAGACGACGTCAAAGGATACCATCAGTTCGTCTCCCTCTACCCTTAGGGACTTGATCCTGCCCAAGAATTCCTCCGCTGATTTCACCGTAGTGGGGCTGTCATTGACCAAGTGGCTCAGTCTGTTACTCAGCCACTTGGCTAGGCCCGAGGTGGGGGTGTCTCTGAAAGCAACGATGGGGCGGAGGGGGACTCCTGCCTTGTGGATTTTGGGGAGTCCGTAAAATCTGGCGAGCGCTGAGTCGCCTGGTCGTATCCTCCTCAAAACCCCTTTATCCATCCTCTTTCCGCGTTTAATATCCCCAAGTATCTTGTTCAGGCGGTTCTTGAGCGTGATCATGGGATCCCCCCACCACCACCACCTTATACGCCGTAGTGTCTTTGAGGAGCTCCAGGGCTTTATCGGTGTATTGCGCCCTGTCCATAACCACGGTGGCCCTCCCCTTGTCCGCAGGAAGCACCACAATCGAGTGGTCCTTCCTGAGTTGTTCCAAAGCTTCCATCTCCTTTCTTGACACTGTTTTAGTTTATATATATATATATATATATATATATATATATATATATATATATATATATATATATATATATATATATATATATATATATATATATATATATATATATATATATATATATATATATATATATATATATATATATATATATATATATATATATATATATATATTATTCTTTCCAAAAACAAACTGTGAACACCAGGAGTATATCAAACTGTACAAAGTTTAATAACATAAAACATAAAACAAAACTACACCAAGCTTTCGTCGGACTCCTTCCGACTTCGTCAGGGTTACGTGCCAGTCCATGAGAGAGTCTCTTTTATACGCCATCCATCATCTGCGCCCGGCTTCTGGACCTCGTCACCGGTC